CCTGGCTGCAGAGTAGGGAGCCAGCAGGGATCTTCCCGCCCACGTGGGGGCGCTGCACGAGCTGTCTCACGCTCCACGTACCCGGTTGCTACGTCACCACATTTCACCGAATACGATGCAACAGCGTGGAAAAGCGTAAAGGTGTTCTCCTGGCGGCCCACAGAAACAGTAAGTTGAATGAAAAGTGGAATAAAGTGCATCTCTGCGTCAGTATTAGTAACCCGGCTGCTGAGCTGCAGAGGGTTTTATAGCAAACGGTAGCTGAGAGCCTTCCGGCCGACTTACTTGAATGTTTTTTTTGTTTGTTTTCCTGTGTGATGCTAAAATGTGCGCGTTTAGAGGCAAAATGAGGGAAGCTGCTCTCCTGCTCACACACTGCCTGCTTGTGTGTCTCCTCCTGAGCTCCAGCCAGGCGGCCAGACAAGGACAGGACCTCAGATGTGGAGGTGAGTAACCGATTTGACGCGCAGCCTCGGCCGCACGCACAAAGAAAAGCCCTAATGTAATCGGTGTCTGACCTCTGCTGCACCTCCCCTCCCCTCCTCAGCCTGCAGGGCTCTGGTAGACGAGATGGAGTGGGCCATTTCCCAGATAGACCCGAAGAAAATGATCCAGACGGGATCTTTCAGGATCAATCCAGATGGGAGTCAGTCCATCAGAGAGGTGAGGCTGCAGTAGCAGAGCCACGTTGTAGTCTGGGTTCAGCCCCCACTGTAGACTGCATCATAAGTACACAGTGTTGACCACAAAACAGGGCCACACTTTTATAAAAAGCATTGCCTGCCTCTGAAGGTCATTATCTCGTTTTAAAGATATCAGTTAGCTTCAGTGGGTTGGCAATAAAAAGAACTTCTGAACTCTGACGCCACCAGGTTCCTCTGGCACGCTCAGAAGGAAACCTCCTGGAGCTCATGGAGAGCATATGCGAGAGGATGGGGGACTACGGCGAGCGCACGGATCCCTCCACAAACAGGAAATCGTACGTCAGGATCAAGTCTCGGAGTGGCGAGGCCATGGACCTGTCGGAGGCCTCGCTGGATTCAAGGGTTACAGCCAGCATGAAGTTTGCAGTGAGTATAGTTTTTCCCGCTTAGACCTCCAGCACACCCCAAGGAGGAGCACAGAAAAAAGGATGTGGTTTAAGTGTCTATTTTTCCTTTTTTGTTCAGTGTGAAACAATAGTGGAACAGCACGAGGATGAAATCATCGAATTCTTCGCTCACGAAACGGACAACGTTAAAGACAAACTGTGCAGCAAAAGGACAGGTAGGTTGAGGCCAAATGCATCAAAATGCAAACATTTCTTTCTGTTCTGATGTTCTCCATGCGTTCAGCTGTTAATTCACTGTGTTGTTTCTGTGCTGTGTGTCCCGCAGACCTCTGTGACCACGCTCTAAAAATGACCCATGATGAGCTTTGATATCCTCTCACCATAGCGACTGTCTCTCCTCAGCTCAAATGGAGACTTCTGGGTGCTGTAGTGTTTTCTATTGCCACTTATCACCTGTTTGTGTCAGGGCAGTGGGACAATCTGTATAAAAATCCTTATGATAAGAAATAAAAACAAAAAGCATTACTCCTGTGATCATGGACACTTTGAGGACCACTCTGCTACTCTCTTTTTTTTTTTTTTTTTTTTGCCTTTTGGGGAGTAATATCTCATTTTATGTGACACTGTAAGTTATTAAAAAGGCTCTTATTGGTCTCTGGATAAAAACTGTGAAACTGTAAAAATGAATTTGGACTTTATGCGGAGGCTAAATTTGGTTGGGTGGTCCTTCGAGCCCTCATTCACGCATGATGGAAAAATTCCTGAGGTTGAATCAAAGTGATGCTGAAAGAAGTTGGCCTGCTCTTGAATTACACCGCTATATAATGATAAGTGTGACTTTCAAGTTCAAGCTTTAGAAGAGTTTTTTCATGCTCGTCAGTATTTATTTAACTGCCCATGATCACAGGATTAACTGATACCAGCTTGATTCTCCTTCTTATATTCCCCCATGAGATACTCGTTCAGGTAAAACGAAAAGTTGAGGGCCTCGGTTTTAAAAGTACATCATGTAAAAATAACTTCAGATACGGTTTCAGTGTAGTTCGAACGATAACGTGCCTTCATCACCAAACAAAATTTCCCAGGTAGTTTACCCCCTCCAACAGCAGCGACGTGCTCTCAGCCAGGGACGTGCAGAGAGGTTTAAAGGGGCGGGTGCTCAAAGTTAAAAAGGGGCACATTGAACCAGGCTGAATAACAACAACACACATTCATCAAGAATCTAATATGGGAAGGGCAGGGCTGTGTTGATCTGAGACTGTAGACATTAAAAAGTCCACAGGAGAGATGGTAGCTGATTAAACAAGTGTCATGAGATAATAACAAAATGCAAAGATTGGTGACAGCGCTTGGAACCATAAGGCAACAAAAACTGTGAGAAATAATTTAGGCTCTGCCTGTGAATCACTCTTTGCTTCTCTTCTTCCTTCCATCCCATCATTTCATATATCACTCTCCACTTGCTGTCTATCTGAGAACAAGGCACAACTTGCTATTGCAATAAACTATAATCTAATTATCCACACCTAACAACTCTTGCACTTAATCTATAATAAAATGATGACAGAAAAATGTTATAGCACTGCCTTTAGTAGCCTCACACAGCTCCTGCTGTTTCCTCCTCATGTCCTTACCAGCCATGTCTGGACAATGTTATATCATGAGTAATATTTTTTTTAAAAATCCATCTAAATAAAACACACACATGCACGCACACACAGTGACATTTTAGACCTTCTTCAGAATACTGTATATACTATGGGCATCATGGTGCTGATCCAGAATCCTTACATTATTATTTATTACTAGAGCTACAATAATAAAGCAATGAGGAGGGGGAAGTAATAAATATGAAATAATGTATTTATGATGATTCCATTTGTTTCACTATCCACTCTGTGCAGGGCAAAGCTTATTACATTTTTAAACTGTAGAGATACAATCATTTTACTGCTGTAAAATCCAATTTTGTCTTATTTAAAATATAAATCTAATATAATCTGCTTCTTAATGTATGTTCTTTAAAATACAGCGTGTGTTTTTTAATATATTATAATTATAATAATTATTATGTGGACATGCATATTAGATCGTTTTTTAGTGAAATATAATCCCTCCAGAAAGGCAGGAAATGCCCGAAACTTACTTTAAAACTAAATATGTTCCCTAAAACGGTGACAGAGCTACAGACCCATGACAGCCTTACACAGGTAGCCAGCAGCTATGACCAGCACTACTTGTGCAGTTAATAAAAGGACAGGTAATGTTTGTCGCGCTGTTGCACACACAGCACGCTCGTTTGTTTCAGTTCGTCAGTTGCAACAAGACAGCTTACCAACGTGTACGTAATAAGCTAATACTCCTGTGTGCTACACACTACAGTGTACGCTGTACACCTACTTACTGGTTTTGTCGCATCAGTCTGTGTCTCTGAGTTAACTTGTGTTTCTCCTACAGCTCCGGACCGCAAAAAATGCGCGTGCTCTTTGTGAGCTCGTTCCCGGCTCGTAACCAGCGCGTTCTGCCGTCGAGGGCGATCATTGGTTAAATGTGATCATGTGACTGATGCAAGCCAGATCCTTTTATTTAGCAAAACTATGATTAATAGTTAAATATTATTGTTGAGGGGCACAGACAGGACTCCGCACGCACACACACATAAAATTAAAAAAAAATGTAAAAATTTTTTTTAAAAGTTGCCTCAACAAAAGGGCACTTTGGGCACTCATCAGGAAAGGGGCGGGTGCTCAAGCCCCTCTAGCCCCCCCCTCTGCACGTCCCTGCTCTCAGCAGTATGTTTTATTTATCCTAAATAAATTTGGCTAAAAGACTCATGTTCCTAAACTGTTGGATTATAACCAGAAATGTCTTCAGGTGTTAAAGTGCTTAGTACACAACATTTGCACAATTAGTATCCACATTCCTGTGCATTAATTTACTGTTTAACCTCCAGTGTCTTTAAAACACTCCTACTGCTAAATAAACTGCCTGCATCTTCTCAAGTTAAACCTCTCACATGCTGCTGACAGAGCACAACAATTATCCTCACATGTTGGAGCCTAAACTTGTGCACACAAAACTTCTTTGCTCATGATTTCACATTACCTCAGAGTTAAACACTACCGAAACCAGCTGCGACTTACTTGAGCTCGAGAATCGAGATTGTAGCAAAGTTTAGATTTCCTGGCTTTGTAATAAAACTGACGACCTGCGTAACCCCACCAGAGTGTGCTGTAGGCAGCAGTGCGAGCACACCAGTACAGCCACAGTAGAAAGATCAGGAAGTATTTTTGGTGTTATTGTGTGAAAATGAATTTTCCGTTTTGTGATCATTCTCCTGAGATGTCTTTTTAATATAAAATTTGTACATTTTCTGACTCTGCTTTGTCTTCAGTCAATGGAAATGTTTGGTTTTGTTTGTTTTTCTTAATAACATCAGCACTACTCGATCCTTCCAACATCTACTTTGTTTCAAGGATGATCTTATCCTTAATTTTCTCTTGAATTTTGATGATAATCATCTGTTTGACTCCATATAACCCACATACAGTTTGAGCTTAAATAGTGTTGAAATTTGGGAACACACAATTAACCATAAAAGCAGTTCCTGAACTATTTGTCGTTTTTGTTTTAAAAGCAGCTATTATTATTTAAAGTTTTGATGCCTATAATTAAAAAAACCCACACAGACACACTTTTGAATGTAGTTTCAGTGACTGCCAGTCTAAAACCTGTTTGTCTTTATCAGGTTCTAACTACATCAGAGATTTGTGTCTCCTCCCGGGATCAGCACTTGCTAACATGTATGTTAACTATTACACAAAAATGTAAAACGAATATTTAACAATTAGTGGTTAAAAATGGCTCCGGTAAATATCCTTGGAATATAAACCTGAATAAAGATCATGAAAGATTTTTTGACCTGGGGAAAAAGTAATCAGTCGATCCATTTAGCAGCTGTTTCAGAAATTTTATTCATATCACACAATCATACTTCACAAGTTTGTCTAGTTGCAGTAAACATGCAAAGGTTTGAATTTATTTATGTTTTTGTAACTCTAGAAAAGTATTTTTTTTTCATCCCATTTCAGGAAGGAAAAGTTCTTCTCCTCTTCGCTGTCTTCCATTAAAGATCTGCGAAATCTTTAAAGGAAACAATCTGAACATGTTAGTTTTTTATGCACTCCAGTGTCTATTTACATTCAATACACACCTCTGTTATGACTCTATTATTACCATAAAACCACTCCTTTTAAATCACCAAATATTACCGTCTTTGCTTATGACTATTTTCATTATCTCACAACTGCACAAAGCCATGGAAATAGAAACAGACAAGGAAAAGTACAATAAAATGTACTAATCGTTTAAAGGTAAACTGTAGTAAAATAGCCTAAATAAAGAGCTTTTAAATATTATTGTCAAATAGAGAGGTCTCTGTAACAGTGGTCCTTTTTGCTCCTCAGACATCCAAGCTAAAATCTCTAAGCTGATGCCGAAATAAAGAAAAAAAAACATCTGTTTCTGAAAATATGTGCTGTGAAGTGCCATGGAAATACGGATTCATGTTTGAGTGTTTAACGCAGTGGACCAGCTCTTTGATTACCGTACTGTCATGTCAGAGCTCTATAACCTCACACTCGACCTCCTTTTCCATGATCTCTGGTGCACACTCCGAACTCAAAAAAGGCTCATTTATGTCTGCCTCATCTTCCTCCTCCTCTTCTCCTCCCTCAGCCTCGATGTTTACTTCACTAGAGTAATGCAGCTCTGCTTCAGCTGTCTTAAACACCTCGCTCTCCTTCTCGGTTCTTTGCTCCATCTCTGCGTCACGTGCTGCTTCCTCCGCCTCGTTCTCATCTGCTCCAATAACAGTGTCTCCAGAGCCGTGGCTGCTGGTGCTGCTGCAGGACAGTGTGTCTTCCTCTGTGTCTCCTCGTACCTCTTTGTGATCATGCTGGATGTCTCCCACCTCTGCACACTCCTCTGAAACCTGTTGCTCGACTTCATCAAAAGCAGTCTTTTCAGAGCTCGTGTCTGCTGCCACATTGTGGGATCCTAAGTTCTCTGGATCCCACAACTCGGTCACCTCTTCCTCTTCATTCTCGGAGTCAGGTGCTGTGTGCTTTCTAATGCGATTTACCACATCCCACAGCGATTTTGGATACTGTAACGCTTGTTTGTGTGCCTCAGATTGGAGAAAGTCAGGGGATAGAGTAAAACTTTCCTCTTCGTAAGGAGGAGTAGAGCTGGGAGGCAGTACAGGGGGTGATTCAGAGAAAGAGGAGGGTGAAGCCTCTGGGGAAACTGGAGGAGGGAGAGTTTCGGGGATGGCACCAGTAGCAGCAGTGTCAGGATGTAAGGGTGAAGTATCCAAAAGACAAACACACTCGCACTCAAACGTTGACTGATGAGGAGAGGGAAGCTGAGGGAGGAAGAGCTCATCTAAAGGTAACAGAGACACCTCACAGTCTGCAGCCAAGGGAGGAGAAGAATTAGACAGATCAGTCTGTGGGTCAACATCCTGCAAAATTTCAATCTGTGTTTCACTTTGAGAGTCTGAAGAGTTGTTTTTGCACAATATCTGTTCCCTAATCTCTACAGTAAGTTCATCTGAGTTTGTCTGTAACTCATTTTCAGTCATGTGACTCTCTTTTATACAAAAAACATCCTCATCTTGGCCACAATCAAGTTGTTGAAGGACTTCGGCCTCTGTTTGACCTGCATTTTCCTCACATTCTTCATCTACTTCAGACGACTCTGCTGGAAGGCCTTCTTCAGGTTGTTCTTCACTCACATGACTCTCCTTTAAGCACAAAACACCCTCCGTTTGGACACTTTCAAGATTTTGCTGCAAACTGTTGATGTCGTTTTCTTCCAAAGGCTTGATCGACTCCTCGTCAGCTCTATTATTTTGTTGCTCATCATTGACGCAGGCATCATCATCCAGTTGACCACATTCATGCTGTTCCTGTGACATCAGCACCTCCGGCTCATTAATGAGGTCACTTTGAGTTACATGTAATGTTTGTGCCTCTTCCTCCTCTGGGCGAGATGTTTCTACAGCTGGTTGATCAGTTAAAACAAGAGGAGGAAGAAGACACTGGGAATCTGCGTGGGGACTGGATAGTGAGGAAGACTCACCACCCAGTGAAAAAGATGGCAGCTGTTGCAAAGGAGAAGGGGATGAAGTTGCAGGAGGAAGTGCAATATCTGCAGTATTAAGAGCAGCCGACTCAGGATCAGGCTCTGCCTCTGCGTTTGACTCTGAGATATTTGAGGGAGAATGATGATCAGAAGGTATTAGTGAAAGAAGGTCAGAGGGTTTAGGAGGCTGAGTCTCACGATCGTCTTCCCGACCATGTTCACTTTTACCCTTTTCATCAGTGGATTCAAGCAGGGCATCCTCAGTCTTTTCAGTTTCACTTAAAGTTTTGTTGCCTGTTTCGAGCGGGACATCTGTGTCACTCCTTTCATGCCTGTCTGATGCTTGGTCCTGAGATCCCATAAAGTCACCACCATCTTCACTTGCTACCTGATCTCTGGAGTCACTGTGGTCGTTTAAAGTTACGCTGTCCTTGGTTTGGTGATCCTCCAAGGGATTCTGGTACGGTTCGTCCTCTGCTGCGTCCTCTGGAGTTTGTTTAAAAGCATCTTCAGTATCTGTTTTAAGTGGAGAAGGCTCACCCCCCTCATCCTGGTCCTCTGCAGACGACTTGACCAATGGCATGCCAGCTTCAGGTTCAGTGATGCAGTCGTGTAGAGGGATCCCTAGTATACGTTCTGCACGCGCCTCTAAGGTTTCTCTTTCAGAAACATGAGATGACAGTAAGCAAGGCAAAGAGATTAAACTTTCTTGTTTGCCTTCCTCTTCCTCCAAAAGTGTTGAGTCCACATCGGTCTCGGGTTTTTCAATCTTGCAGGAGGAGGCTTCTTCTGTGCTTTCATCAGTTGTGACATCTTGATTTAGCTGAAAGTTTAGTTCAGGAGAAATATTCACTTGAGCATCGAGCTGACTCTCTTCAGCGAGTGCTGCAGTGCTTAAAAAGTGAACCCGCTCTTTTGTAGGCGAAGGAATCTGTTCCATTTTCACAACAACGCAGGTTGTGTCGACAACCAGCATGCTTTTAATGTCCTCAGCATTCTCCTGGTTGTCCAGCTGCATTACTTCAGTATCTACTGGAGGACTGCTTACATTAACACAATCGTCTGACAGTTTATCCTCACGGTTTCCTTTCAAACAGCATGTGGGGGGACTCTCAGTTTCAGCTTTGCTTGTGAAACTAGGCTCCCTCCATGAAGGATATTTTATTGACACCGGCTGCACTGACTGACCTCCCTGTCTGCAGACATCATTTGCATTTTCTTTTTGGGGGGGAACAACATCGGCCTGTGCTTTCTTTGCTTGATTATTTTCAACCATGTCCTTCTCTGTGCAGGGTGGCGTCTCCCTCTGTTTCCTTCCAGCACCGTCGTCTGACTGCTCTGTGAGAGTTGGCGATTTGAAGTCCACTTCGTCTGGAAGTTTTTGAGTAGCCTCAGTCGTGGTTCCCAGAAGTTTAGAAGCCTCTCTTACGTCTGTGTGTTCAATGTTCATTTTGGAGGTGCAAACGGGCAAAGATGGGGTCTCGGTGGGGCCGGCTATTCGAGAAACCAAACAGAATATTGTCATCCCTCCTGTCTTTTTGCTTAGCCTGAATTTCCTTCCTTCTATGACCTTTGAGGAGGTTTCCCTGTTTATTTCTGAATTCTGAAACACTTGTGGATGTTGCAGATGCAGTGTGCCATCATCCTGTATGAGTGTCTGCTGGACACTGATGGGGCAAACCGCCTGTAAAGCATCTGCTTCAAATCTTTGGCGTTTCAATCCTTCAAGCTTTGGGCAGGTTTTACTTTCACACAAATTTGTCAGTTCTTCTTTTTCTCCCTTGCTCTTATCTTGTAGCTCTGCAGACACATGCTGCTTTCTGCGTGTGGGCTGCGAGTAGCAGTGTTGCTTCTTGGTGTCCTGCTCCCAGACCGTGTCACTGCTGTGTGTCACAGGTGAAGGTTTATGTGGGCTGTTGTAGGGAGGAGGAGCAATATAGCCAGGAGGTTGGTTATATATCTTCCTTTGGTAGCTTGCATTTTCCTTCATGTCCAGCACGTTGCTTGCGTCAGGAGCAGGAGCTTGTGATGGATAGTAGGTGGGAGTTTGCTGTCTGCCTCCTCTGTCCCACAGTCCAGGTTGTTTGACATGTTGGGGATCCAAACCTATCCTGGTGCTCTCCACCAGCCCCTGAGAGGCTCCCCTTAATTCTGCTTCTATACGCCTTCTTCTTGGCAGGGAGTGACTGTAGCGAGCCGCCCAGGCCTCCAGCTCTCGATAGCTGCTGTCGCTCCTCTTGGTAGAAACTTCTCTGTTGTAGCGGACAGGGCTACAGGTGTCCCACCTCCTCTGCCACCCCTCCCTTAGAAATCCTCTCTCATGATCCCTCACGGGTCGATGGGTTGCTTTCCACTCTCTGTCTCTGGCTTCTTGGAGCTGGTACTCTCCCAGATCTTGGTGGTGCTGAGTGTGGCGTCGCAGAATGAAAGGGAAATGGGAAGAAGGAGGAGGGGCACTGAGCTCTGGGTCTGTCCAGTTGGTGTACTCTTGTAAAGCTCCTGCTGATCTTGATCCTGGTACAGTCCAGTATGTGGACTCCCTGCTTTGATCCTGCTGCTCACCATAGTACAGTGGATAATGGGCTGGCTGATGTCTGTCGTGATAGCTGGGAGTAGAATAGTAGAGAAATGATAGCAAAATTTAGCAAGATTACATAATTTCACAGAGCATTTTAAATTAGTCTATATGGTTACATTTAATAGATAACACAAAACGTTCTGCAGGATTATGTGGAACAATATTCCCATCTTTTCAGAGCTTTTTGCAGAGTGTCAGAGGTAGTGGAGAGCTGGATAATCTTGGAGAGAGCAGGCAAAGCAAATACTTTGTGTCAGCCAGAAGTTAACTATCATTTTTGTGCACCTCAAATGTAAATTTGCCAAACAAGCAGTGATAAATGCAAAGATTATACTGGCCCAAGCAATTTTCATAGCCTCCAACTTACTTCTGTGTGTAGTTTTTCCCAGGAATGGTACCATATTTGGAGTACAGATTGGACTGCCCCTGATTCTCAGGCCAGAACTCCATCATTTGGTCTCATCCACAGATCTGAAGCATGAAACTTAAAAAACAAAAACAAAAAACAACTTAAAAATGCATTTACTTAGATCGCCTTAAATGAAAGGATTTAAAGCATGTAAACACGTACCTCCAGCTACTGTTTTGAAATTCTTGTCCTGGCTGCTCATGAAGTGACACAAGGTCTAATGAAGTCCAAACAGGACAACTTGTTTTAAGAGGACAGTGGTTTCCAGCACCCCCTCCCACTCTTCTACCACACACACACACACACACACACACACACACACACACACACAAACACACACACACACACACACACACACACACACACGCACACACACGCATACACAACCACACACACACACACACGCACACATGCACACACATGCTCAGAAAGGCCCGTCCTCTTTTCATCCAGCCAACACACAGTTTAAATACCACTGAGGAAGTTTTTAATCAGCTGCTTTAGAAGAACTAGAATCTCTGCCTCAATCATTTTCTCTCTAAACTCACTCAAATTTAAAGGGAAGGCAAAGTGTGCGTCACAATTTTCAAAAGTGTCTTTAATTAACATGTATTTGGGTGTAAAGCTTGTAAAATTTAATGCTAAAACTTCTCAAATTGAATACAAGCATCAGGTTAAAATACTTTTAATATTATTTTACCTTATTAACAGTGACTGACTGACAACAGCCAGTGCTGACATATAGTGGCTTCATCTACTTTTAATGAAAAATGAGGTGGACAATAAAGTTCCCATGGACTAATTCAGATCTTATGCAGATCGCACATTTTCTTATCTGTCTCTACATCATCACTTCCTTGCAGCACGCAGGTTTCTTGCAACAGTCAATATCAACCAAACCCAGCTATGTGCACAGTCGCGTGGGAGGTGCTGGGGCGTGAGGGCGAGCAGACTCTGCATGGAGATAGGGATCTGTTGTTTTGTCGGCTGAATTGTGGCACAGAGAGGGACGGGCAGCCGTTCGGTCGTCTCCCTTTTATTGAAACTCTCCAGCGTAACAAACAGGCTTTCCTTTCCTGAACAGAAAATCTGTACATCAGCAGAGTGCAGCAGAGAGGGGATGAAAGACGGGCAGACAGCAGGCTGCGGGAAGGGCGGGCTTTTGGTGTTGACAGAATAGCTTGGAGTGAGATTTATTTTGGATTTTGGATTCTATAAAACCAATGTTATTGTCAACAATCATATGTCACATGGTGAATGTTTCCATGCCCAGTTAAGACCTTCTTTATTGCAACAAAATTATACAGAAAACATGTTAATAGTAATTAAAATGACAGTAAGATACCAACAACATCCTGTCCATCCCTTGACAGTGTACCCATCATGCGTTATGTCACAAAACTCAAATAATCTCAAACTGGTTTCCTTAACATAATCAATGTATTCAAATAACTGCCAAGGTCTCCAGACCTCAATCCAATAGAGAGGCTTTCGGATGTGGTGGAATGGGAAATTCACATCATGGAGGCCAACAAATCTGCAGCCACTGTGTGATGCTATCATGTTAATGTGGACCCAAATCTCTGAGGACTGTTTCCAACACCCTGTTCTTAAAATAAAAGGGGGTCCAAGTCAGTACTAGTAAGATATACCTAATGAAGGGGGAGTGAAAGTAGGTTTTCATGAACAGATGTTGCATTTGGAGATTTTATGGTATAAGAAAGATTTTTTTTATCCACTGCACTGGGAGAGAGGGATGTGATAGCTGGTTTAAAGCTTTTTTGACTTTTCTGCTATAACCATACAGAATATTCATGACTAAATCAGCAACTATTAAAATTAAAGGTGTGATAAAAATCTAAGCTTAATGACAATTTAACCATTTAATACATACATTCAAACTTTTAATTACCAAAATGTCTCAAGGAAAGAATTACTCTGGCAGAGGATATTAATTCATGTCAAAATCACTAATAGTAAGCACTCTATAAACAAACATGGTTTTCAGGGCTTTTAAATCTGTGACTGTTTTCAAGGTGAAGATGCTGCTGTGCACCCTGTACTGACAACAAGTGTTTTCCAACCAGAGGATAATCAGAAATATTGAAAACAAATACGAATTTTTGAAAAAACAGTTCTGGAAACACACCTTCAAGCTCATCTTGGTGATGCGTGACGCCTGCAGTGGGTAAAGGTTAAAAAGAAGAACTGTAACTTTAGACCTGATCTTCATCTCACTGAAAACATGGTGAAAACGCTTTAGTCCAATGACTGAATTTCCAATCAGACAAAACTCAAGGCTGATTTATATAAAATCATGCTGTTTTGTCTTATAAAATGCATTCATAGTGTGTGTATGTTTGTGCTTGTATGTCATTAAAGTTCTGAAGTTCATTTTCTTCCCAAATCTCAAAAATCAGAGGACACATTCTGAATACATTCGCTTTTAATTAAAGACAAATGACATGTGTAACTGTTTAGAGATAAATAAAAATAATATGATTACATTTAAATTCATTTAAAATAGCTTTAGCTTTTATAGGTTCTACAGTTAGTGGGATGTGAAACTCAAAATAATTTAAATAACAGACAAACTCATAATTTTATTTATTTATAAAAAGCAGTAGGCCGTCCCTCCTGTCGTCACTGGCCTGTTCTTAAAGACGCCCTGTAGATATTATTGTTTTGTTTGTCGTCTCGGTGCACAAGCTCCACATTGAATCTGCTCGGTAGATGCTTCTCATAGAAAGCTGCTGTTTCGTGCTCATCTCGCATTTTGGATGAGAGATACGCTGTGGCTCCTTTACCACACAGGTGAGCTAGTGTCTCCACTAGCGGGAGGTATGTCTCTGGCAGGTAAATGATATCAGCACAGAGCACCAAGTCCCAGTCAGAGGAGAAGTTCATGTGATCCTCACCCCAGGACAGAGGGAGGACAGTGGGAGGGAGAGAAGGCCACCCGCTGGAAGGCTTGTTAGCAGAGACATTAGCATCAAGCTGTGGAAGAGCCAAAGGAAGGTCTGTGAGAGTCACCTCTGCTCCTGAAAGAAGAGGGATGAAAGCCTGATCCCACATGCTGCTGATCAAAGTCTTAAATTAAGATCAGAAGAAATTAAAAACATGAGCATGTGAAATAACAGACATGGAACAAACAACAAACTAATTGTTTGTTTTCTGTAGTCAGTTTTCTGACTACAAATTAAAAGCTACTGATGTGTAGCTGTAATCAAAACACTGCCTGCCCCCCAAAAGAGTAATGACTTGGATTTAACTAAGCTAAGAGATAGATAAGGAGCCTCTTTGGAGCATTATTTCTGTGATTAATATGGGCTTGCAAGAGGGTATTTAACCTTAACTGATAAGTGGGTTCTGAGTTTAAATAGAGATCACTTACACATTTGGTGAAATTTCATAACTATGTTTAATAGTTAAAGTAAAAGCATTTCTATCCGCACAATGGAGCAACTGAAAAGGGTCATGTGGTCTGATGAGTCCAGATTTGATGGCTGCAACATAATAAGAAGACAGGTGGATAAGGTGCTGCATCATCAGGCCTAGTGCAGCCAGTTTTGACAGTGTTATGATCAGGTGTTTGCTTCACTTGATCAGGATTATATTGAGTGAAAAATGAGATGAGTTGACCCGCTAAATATACTTAATGACCAGGTTTTTTTCTTCAGGGGCAAGGGCATATTCCAAGAAGACAGTATGGGCTCAGACTGTGGAAGAGTGGTGCAGGAAGCAGGAAAGATGTTTTCACAGATTCATTTATCCCTTTCAGAATGCTTTGAATAATAACAACGTGGGCATTAAAGTTAGAGGTGACCCAAAGAAGTACTGTTTGTGACTTTTTATTTATTGGGCTAGGAGTTTATTTTATTTGTTTTGTTTTAATTTCCCACCAAACAATACTTTAAAAAATATTTATTAGAATAGCATTGCCTCTTATTGTCGGTATAGAACGAAACTGAGGGAAAACAACCTTTCACACTGCCGAAACCCGGGATCGAACCAGGGACCTTTAGATCTTCAGTCTAACGCTCTCCCAACTGAGCTATTTCGGCGACAACATCGCTGCAGGCAGGAGTTGTTATGGATTCAATCATGTTTTACACAGCAGAAAACGCTATATCTATTTATATACACAAAAAATAAACACATGAGTAAGTGAACTTGATAGTGAACACCATGTGGTTCAGAAGCAGCTGCACATGTGTGGGGGTATAATGTGACATTGAGCCACAGGAGAATCCCACTCCGAGACACATTAGTTAGTAGTTAGTTTGTATTTAACATTAGTTACACGAGTTATTTTACAAACTCCAAATTTACCCAAGCGAGCTGCCACAATACCGACCACACCGGTGCCTGCTCCGAGCTCTATGAGCCGCTTTCCCCTCAGCTCCACAGACTGATCCTCCAAGTAACGGCACAGGTGTAACGCCTGCGTGTGTACACAGACACACACATAGATTTCATCACTGCACAAAGCCCAGGTTTACGAAGATCATCTAAATAAAGTGAGTGCCTGTCTGCTCCTTACAGCCTCCCAGACCGGTGCAGCCACGCCGAGGTCCGCACCGAACAGCTGTCTGATCTTCACCTCCTCTCCCATCAGCGTGTACACGGACTCCAGAGAAAACGTTTCCGTGAACAGACAGTCATCTACAGGAAACGGGTCGTCTTCGTCCTCGGTGTGAGACATGTTTATTGGCGCTAAAGTCTATTATTGTTGGTAAGAAAACCGGATGTTCTCGATGCGGGAGGGCAGCTGCTTTTAACTTCCGGTCAAGTAATAACGTTATAGCGAATGTTTTGTTTTTGTCATAGACACCATAAAAATGTTGTTAAAATGTTTTAGTATTAATGTTAAATTTTTTAAAATAAAATATTTATTTTATTTACTTCTTCTCATTTTTTATTTATCGCAACAGAAAAATAAAAAACATAAAATTCGTAACTTCACAAAAAAAACCACAAGAAAACTAAAGTGTTTTTTTTCATGTTGTATCAAGCTAGTAGTACTATAGATGTAAGACTACGAGAGGCTTTTACTTTGAAATGTAACACGCATATGCCAAAAGCGATGCACATCAGAGATTGCGGTCTGAAATGCAGCGGGTATAAAACAATCTTAAATATATTCAAATTATACATTATTTTTGCTTTTAAATACTGAATTAATACTTATTATTTTATCAGATATTTCATTATTTTCATTTTTATACTTCTACATGTCAGCTTGTTGATATTGTTAAAGGAAAATAAATGTTGTTGACAGTATCATGACTGGATAATACACTACAGGATTGTTTCTTTGTTTGTTAGTTTGTTTCCTTCTCATCACGAAAAATCCTTTGGTCACTGGTCTCTAGTAAAGCTATGGCTGCATCCAACAGTCATTTATATCATCAATTAATTCTTCTTCTTTCTTTTTTTTTTCTCTTTTTAAGGCTCAGCACAGCAGATCATCTGCCTCGATCTGACCCTATCCCTGCCATCCTTCTCTGTCACACCAACCCTCTGCATATCCTTCTTTGCCACATCCACAAATAGTGAATATTCTCTGTGGACTGTCAAACATATCCACTGTAGGAAAATCTTAACATCTTATTATATTTTGTTTTATTCAGCCACTATCCCGCATACGTTTATCCAAAACATTTTCTTTTCTTTCCAAGTATCCAGGATATCAGTACTTTTCTCCCCTTACACTGTGCCACGGACATTAAATTAAATACCAGCAAAAACCAGTGTTACCCCCCCCCCCCAAACAGAACTAGGACATCAGTTTCAAAATCCTGTGTGGTATCTCAAGTTATTGCAGTCACATCTCCAGAAAGCTTGACCCCTGAACTCAAGATCTGAGCGGTTGGTTGAAGTTTTTAACAGAGTTTAGATGTTTTTCAGTCCTGAACATTACATGTGGCTCAAGAATGCAGTTAAAAAAATAATTTGAATATCACAAAATTTCAACCCATTCATGTGTACACTCCAGGAATTTAATAACATCCCACTAAACTGGTTTGTAAATACAGTGGTGTAGTTTTACTTGTATGCAAATTACCACTGATATATTGCATCTCATCACCTTTTATTGAATATCAAAACCAACAAAAATGTCAAGAAGCATAAGCACCATACATTGGTGAAGCGATAAAACAGCAGGGTAGTGTCCCCCCGATCTTCACTGATTATGGAAGTAAGTGTCTTCCTCATGGACAAGCACAAGCTCTGAAAATCATCCTGTGGGACCTCAGCCCACTTATCAGTCAGTGCCACCCGGAGATGCTCCTGAGTCTGTGGAGGAGGATTGCGATGTCTGTCTGTCATGCCATGCTTTCCATGGCGTTTATATCAGGGACTTATTGCCCTGCAACTTATCCATGACACTATACCAGTCAGGTTGTCATGGCATTCTTACAGAAGTCATTTTCTCCAAAGCTGCGGTGCCTTTTTCCAAGGTTGGTTGTGTTTGATAGAGGAGTGTTAATTTTGGTTTCTCCCCCAAATTGTGTTTTGAGAGACAAGACTACTCACAGTAATGAGTCGGGGATGACCAAATCCCACATGTTGGGAATTATCCCCAAGCAAACCCTACATGCACATGGGAAAAGCTCTTCCAAAATCGAACTGAAAATAGAGCAGTGCATTATTAAATCCCTTGAGTGGGATTTTGGGCACCTGCAACTCTGGAATTTTAGTGTGAGGTCAAAATTTTCATGGCTTCATTAAATGCGCTAAAGTTTTAAAAAGAAAAAAAAAAATAGTGTTAGGTAGGTGATTTTTCATGGAACAGATGTTTAAATTAATAGTTTTTAGTGTTTAATGTGACCTTTGTTTGCAGTTAGTACCATTTGTGCAAGACGTGAACACACAGATACGCACCGACTCATGTTCCAGGTTTATTTTTTAAAAAATTAAGCTGCTGTCTCCTCACCCGTTTGGTTTCCAAAATCAATACTTAAGTAAAGTACCACTTGGACTTCTTCTTTTTTACATACAATTTCACATCAATGACGAAGATGATTTTACATGTAAAGTGTAGAGTTGAGTACATATATTTAAACAAAGCGCTCCATTGTTTCAGCTCATCAGACAGCCAAATGAAATATAATGTGTAAATCTGAACAAAGAAGAAAGGGGAAAAAAAAAAAAAATAAAAATCACAATGCGGTCTTCAGATGTCTCTTCATTGTGTTGTACTACATCCGTTTCCTCAGTGGAGTGATTATTAACTGTTGTGCTCAGACTACACATACACTCTATTCAATTTACAGCAAACCTGACAGAAAACAAAAAAAATCTCTGGGTTATATGAAGTTACTTGAAAATAAATAATTTGCTTATCATACAAATGACAGTAGTATTACATCCACGACACCCCGACCCATTCCTACCCCTCAGGGCTCAATATGTGCAAACTGCAAGGGTTTCTTAAAAAAAGGTAGCACTTTATGCAAAGACCATGGAGAACAAAAACGAGTGTTTTTAACATGAGCACTTCATTAGAGCGCAGCAAGTGTTCAACAGGTATGAAGTTAAAATGAAGTGGAGGAGATGTATGGCTGCATAAACCCTCCTCAGGCCAACCGTTTGGTAACAAGGACCTTAGTATTATTTTTCTAAAGTGAGGAATAAACTGATAAAAAACAGATGGTCCTTTGGTACTGAATGGCTGTTCTGATCTTAAATGGTACTGCCCTCATTTAAAAAAAAAAAAAAGTTCTCAAGTCTTTCACAGTAAAATACTGAGCTGGGATGTAAATATAATGCTAAGATGAAAATGTCCGGTTGAACAAACCTCTGTCAAAGTCACTTAGGAAAAATAGACACTGTTGATTGTTTTGTTTTTTTCATTCAAATCCGTCAAAAATAACAGAAAAAAACAAAACAAAAAAATCTAACTCTCCCATTAAAAAAAAACCCCATCTCCACTAACCCACAGTGTCCCCACAAAGATTTCTTCTTAGCATTTCCCGGTTGGTGTGAAAGACGGTAGAATCAAGTCCAAGTCCACACAGTTGCACAACAAACACCCAGGCAGAAAACAAAAACGGAGGAATGAGTGATTAGAACTTTGTTCCAAAAAGAATAATAATTAGAACAATGACTATGATGAAAAGGATCAAAATGACCAGCATCTTTCGGTTTTTCTTCTGATACTGTTCTGCCTGAAAAGAAAATAAGAATAATTTTACATAACACCATTCACTTTTAATGAATAAGTACAAATGGGGTCTTTTTACACCACAGGACAGAAAAAACATCTGGTCAACAGGCTCTAAAATTTCCTGAAACATTACATAACAAAACATCCAACAGCTTGTAGAACGACCTTTAGCAGCAACTTGGACGTAATCGTTTTCTGTATGACTCTATCAGTGTCTCACATAGATGTGGATCAATTTTGCTTCACTTTTCTTTGCAACGTTGTTTCAGTTCTTTGAGATTAGTAAGCCTGTCTCTGCACAGCTCTCTTTCAGTCAGGCTGAGGTCTGGACTGTGATTGTGTCATTGCAATACCTTGATTAGGATCGCTGTCCTGTTGTATAACCCAGTATAGGGCTGTTCGATATAACAATATATAGCGGATGACGACATTTTCATTTTACGCTATCGTTTGTTTCATGGTGTCGCAAAATAAACGTTTACGGCAATATTTTTTCATGGTTTTGATGGTCACTGTAGTGGCTATATTAATTTCTTAAAGTTCTCTCTTTCTCTTATATTTAATATAACCACACTACGGACGGACAAGCGCCTGTTTTTATGGGTTGTCGTTAGCAACAACGACGGTAAAACCATCGCGTGTCCGCTGGTTTAGTTTCCACATAAACCTTTGACAGTAAAGCTCAAGATCCTGTTGAGACTTTTCAAAATAAACTGAATCACATGAAAGAGTATGCAGAGTATTTATGGATGAGAAGCAAAAAAGAGCCGTCAGGTGCTAGAAAATAAACCTTGGACTCAAACGTTAGAACAGTTTTTTTCTCGCAGCACGCCGTGTAATAAATACTCACAAAGAAAACGGCGGCCGTTACAACTTATGTCTAAAAATATATAGTTTCATGCATCAGTTCAAACACTCAACTCCAGGTTGGACGATAGATGTCTTATATCGGGATATGAGATTTTGGTCTCATCGCACAGCCCTAACCCAGTATTAACCATACTTTAGCTGTTGGACAGATGACCTCACATTTGAGTCTAGAATACTTTGGCATACAGAAGAGTTCATGGTCAATTTAGTGCTTGCAAGGTGCCCAAATCCAGGACCTCTTCTCCATCGTGCTGACAGCTGGTATGAAGTGTTTGTGCCGCTATGCTGTGTTTGTTTTTTGCCATTATGGTCAAACATCTCCACCTTAGTCTGTCCAAAAGGACACTGACCCTCATTTGCTAACACTGTGTATATCACACACATGAATGTTTCAGGCACAAATCAATAGATTCATTTTTTTGTACTTTATAAATACATTTAGAAGTGCCTCTGAGCATGTGTATGAACAAATCACAGCTTGGCTTTCATAAGAAATTTAAACAAGTCTTTAAAATAATTTCTACTACTAATACCGCTACAAATAATTATAATACCTATTATTTCACTTTGGTCATTATTTACAGTTTTCATTCCATAAGCCAAAAAGTGTTTAGAATTACTTAAAAAAATGAAATTGCCTGAAAAAAAAAACAAGACACTAAATAAAGAAATTTAGTGTTTACCTTTTGTAACTGTTTCAATCCGTCTTCTGTTTTAACACAAGCCTGCTCCACATTGAAGTCGATTCTATCAAGAACGGTGCCCTGGAAGGACAAAAAGAGTGTTTTT